TGACAGAACGTTAGAAGAGTAGAGGCAGAGAGCTAGGGCTTGAGGAAGAAGAGGCAAACTCCATTGTAGAGGTAAAGAGCTTTGCTAGAAATACCAAGGTAAGTGGGATTCCAATTTTCTAAGGGATTGTATAATAGTTTGTAGGTTCAGGGTTTGAATTACCATGGTTGAATTGTATTTGTGCATAATTGTGATAATCTCTTCTTTTGTATGAATCAATTTGATGAATGGTGATATGATGTTGTTGTGTTGATTGATGTGTTTGTTGGTGATTAATGTGATTCTGTATGTTATTGGGATTGAAGATGTAGTATCTGATTTCACAATGTTTCATAAAAGTTGAGTTTTTGGGGTTGGAATGAGACTGGTTTTCATACTTTGAAATAATAGAAAACTGCTTTTGTCGCAAGTGAAATCGATTTCACATTGCATTTTTGTGAAAAATTGGGTTCCGTATAGAAGGAAATCGATTTCCAATTCGAAAATTGTGAAATCGAGCTACTTAAGTGGGTGAAATTGATTTCCAGAAAGGGTGAAATCGATTTCCACCAGTTCTGACAGAATTTTCTAAAAACTTTAAAAATTCGTATCTTGAGTTTTAGATGTCCATTTGACGCGCCATTTGTACCCGTGGAGAGGTAGTACAGTGTACTTTCGTGTAAAAATGGTTTCCTGTTTCTAGAATTGAATTAAATGGTGTGTAATGATGTTACATGGTTTTAATTGTATGTGGTGGTATAATGTCGGTGTGTGAAATATGTGTTGAGTGTATTGTTGTTGCTTGCTACATTGTAGTTGCTGTTGTAGATTGTTATAACAGGTGTTTGGTGTATGGTGGCCATAATTGGCAATGTACTTGTTGTTGTTGCATGTTTAATATGCATCATTGGTGTTTGAATGTTGGTCCCTATTGGTGAGCCTCAATCCCATTGTGTGGATTGAGTGTGTTTTGGTGTGCTCTGTTGTCTATGGTGAGGATTAAAGCGGTGAACCTGAGTGTTCACAGAAATTGGTACCATATGCATTTAGTCTCGGTGCATTTGCATAATTGTTGCTGTATGAATTTTGTTATTACATAATTGATGTGCAAATTGGTGTTTTGGTTTGTGTGAATGATGAAATGGGTGAATATACATGAAATAATATGTTATCTACTTAATAATTTTAAAAGTTGCATGTGTTACATATTACTATAATATGAGCAGGTTATTGTTTGATGAATGTGACATCCTAATTCGGTGAAGTTTTAATTTACTCTGATTTTATTTATAATTATTCGGAGAAAATTAGGGTGTTACATGTTGTGGTCCCCAAGTTAAGTTTTGGGTCATTTCCACTTATAGGTTCTTCGGTATAAACAGAGTTCATGCCATCATGTTCATACTTAGGCCAAATGCAACTTGCTCGTGCGTTCTTGATTTTATTTTTGCCAAATTATCCTTTCATGGAGTAGAACACAATGCAAAAAGAACCAGGTCAATTAGATACTTGATGTGCAAATGACATGAGTTGGAATTTGGGGTCGTGGCCTGAAATTTTAGGCCAGGCATTAGGTCAAATATGTCATGAACAATGTTTTGTGCATAAATGGCCTCTAACATTTGAGGGACTTAGAGCTTGAATTAATATTTGACCTCTGAAGCAAAGTTACAGAGGACATCATTCTTGACATTTGGCTCAAAGAAGCACCCATAAATTGTGAAAATTGAAGAAGTTATGGTGTTTGGACCAAAAGGCATGTCACACTTGATTTTAGGTCATACCATTATGTTCCAACTTGTCATTTTTGGTGTTTTCTTATATTCCAAGGCATGATGATTATCATATGAGCTCTAAATGGTGTGCCCTTGAATGACCATTGATTAATCTTTATGAAACCTTGAGAAAAATGATGAAGAAGGCATGGAAATAAACACATGAACCTATCTTGAGTTAACTTGCAAACAAGCATCAAACTTGAATTTATTTTTGTCAATTGATCTTGAATGAAGCTTGACATGAATGTGGCCTAAGATCATAGGTCATGCCTTCAAGAATAAGGCTTGTTGTTCACTTGTTAACCTTGACTTTGACTTAGGGGATCAAAACCCTAATTTGGAAATCATCTTGATCTTTTGATGAAAAAGCCCTACCTTACAAAATAAGAAAAGGAAACAATGCATATTTTTGTATTTTGAATAGGATTAGTAAAATATAAAAGCAAGTAAACTCAAAGGTAAAAGGAAATGCAAAGAGTACTTGGTGATCTCCCTCACAATAAACCCAAAGACCAAAGGGTTAAGAGACTACTATGTTTATGATCTTAATGAAATGCAATGGTATGATAGGTGGAATCTTAGGGGTAAAAATTAGGGTATGACAATAAAACACTCATGCGAGGGAAACTACAAATGCCATTCTATCCGAGGCACAGACGATATTGCAGTACGAGAGAGAGAGAGAGAGAGAGAGAGAGAGAGAGAGAGAGAGAGAGAGAGAGAGAGAGAGAAGGAACAAGGGGGTCAAATATACCCACTATTTCACTTTTACTTCTATTTTGATAGTAATTGTATTATGGTTTGTAATTTGTCATTTTCATAGTATTATAGATTCCGAATTAATTCTAATATATGACATTTTAATCTTATTACATCATGTATGATTTAATTATAAATAGCCTATTACATTAATATACTTATTACATCATTGTATTTCTTAAAAAATGTCAAATTTGACTGCCTAAGGGTTATTACTCAAATCTACTTCTGTAAATTTTATGAAAATACATCTCAATACTAATTTATGGAAAAATGAAGATGTAATTCACTTACGAAATGATGTGATGTATATGAGATGCAAACGGAAATATACTTTCAAATTTATGAAGACCAATTTTGAGTTTTAAAAGAGTGACTATTTACTACTAAAGGTAAGAAGAACAACCTCTTATGACAAATCTCATCATAATTGATCAATTCAGTATTAATTGAAAATTCAGCGTTGTGACCATAAGGAGAATAAGAAATGGTATAAATTTTATTGATTAATTTTTTTATAATATTATAATACTTACTAGTAAGAAACCCGTGCGATATTCATATTATACGTCTCTTGTTCTTATTGTCAAATTTGCATTTATTTATTCAGTTGGTTAACAGTCATATATTACAAACATAATATGTGTCTTGAACCCATGTGTCTATTTATTAAAAAATTTGTAACTTTTTCTCGTTTATAAAAATAATTGTATCAATAGTTGAATTTTTTCCGTTTATAAAAAGATTTGTAACTTATTTCGGTTTATAAAATTATTGTAACTTATTTCTGTTTATAAAACTATTATATCAAAATGTAGACTTTTTTCGTTTATAAGTGGATTAAACTCGTGTGACGATTTTTAGAATTATTTTTAACTTATTCCTGTTAAAAACAATTGCATCAATAGTTGAATTTTTTTCGTTTATAAAATATTCGTAACTTATTCCTGTTTATAAAAATTATTGTAACTTATTTTCATTTATACAAATAACTAAATCAACATGTAAACTTTTTCCCGTTTATAAATGCTTTGAACATGTGTGACCATTTATAAAAATATTTTTAACTTATTCTTGTTAAAAACAATTGCATCAAAATTTTAATTTTTATTGTTTATAAAAATAACTTATTTCCGTTTATAAAAATAATTGTAAAACTAAATATTTACTATGTCATCTTAAATTTATTTATTCAATAGTGATAAATATATGTCTCATATTTAATTATGTATGTATATAAATATCTATTAATAATAAATATTAAATTTATTATTTTAATGTCTAGTAAATTTGCTGTCAAATAAAATAAATATTGTAATTAATTAAAATAAATATTATATAAAAAAAAGACAAACTTAAAAATTCTATTTTTCATTATTGATTCTACCTATAATTTTTGTCTTTGAATTGGTTAACCATTTTTTAAATTATTCATTTTTTTTTATTTTTACCTTAGTATGTTTTTTTTACAATATAGCATTTAAAATTTTCAATTATTTATTTTTAATTTATTATAAAATGATTTTTTAACTATTAATTATAAAATCAATTTGATTTTTATTTTGTATTTTGGTTATTGTTTGAATTGAGAAAACATTTTTCAATTTTTAATCACTTATTATTTTAGACATACATCAAATTATTTTCATCATGGTTAGTCATCATTGTTTTGTGTTCTCATTACATTTGAAGCTCATCAATAGTTGGATTGTTCTATGCTATAACCAAGTAAGTGTCATATATATAGAATAGAAGCTCATCAATTTGATTTTTATTTTGTATTTTATTTATTGTTTGAATTGTGAAAATATTTTTCAACTTTTAATCACTTATTATTTTAGACATACATCAAATTATTCTCATCTTGGTTAGTCATCACTATTCTGTGTTCTCATTACATTTGAAGCTCATCAATAGTTAGATCATTCCATGTTATAATCAAATAACGATCAATTATATAAATTAAGTTGTCTCGACAAGTCGAAAATATATATTTTAGTAGAAAAAATAAATCTTTATAATTAAGTTGTCATCTACACGTGCGTTCGCACGAGTTACATAATATCATCGTAAATAATAAATAAAATAGTAGTGATGATTAAGAAATGTATATAAAATTAAAGTAACTATTTTGTTTATAATCTAATAACACCCGTATGATATACTCATTAATCATTACCATATGGTTTTGTATCAAGATGTAGCATGTCATCTTTAAGAAGGATCCATCTCTTAATCATGCTTACAGAAAATATAGTCAATCTTTTTACATTCTCATTAATTTACACTATACATGATGCTAATAGCTTAGTAACATTTTAGTTTTTAGTTGTGACAATGACAATACAATATAATTCAGGGTATCAGCAGCAACAAACCTAAGGAAGCAACAATACCTTGTCTTATATGTAGAATAATTTACAAAAAAGAAAGATAATCAGCTTGCTACTTGATTATTCAAACCATTTCACCACATTACTTACATTACACCATCAACTTGTGTTCAGGCCTGTGAGTAAATTCAAAATCAATGTGCACAAAAGCTCTTTCAACTTCTGGAAGTTGCTCAAGCTTCTCTTGAAGTGTCTCACCAATATTGTGTGCTTGGTTTAATGGCATGTCTTCTGGCAACACAATATCTACTTCAACAAAATAGTGAGCACCAAAAGTGTATGCTCTCACAGTATCTATGTGTTTAACTTCTACATGATGATTCCATATTAGATATGTCAACTTTGCTAGAAAATCAGGTGGTGCTGTCCTTCCAATAAGTGATGATACATTCTCAATCACTGTCTTCACCCATGTAATAATTGTGTACAGTGCTATCTACATTACATATTATCACAATATCATAGTCATTAGATTATCATGAGGTTAACTAGCAGTCACAAATTGTCCTTGAAAATATGTAAACTAAATAAATACTACTAACTGTAAAATTATAAACCAATTAGTGGAAGAATTGAACTCACAATAATAGCTCCCAATGGATCAATCCACCAATAGAACTTGACAGCCAACACAGCAGCAGCTAATCCAACTGAATTAGTAATAACATCAAAACAATGATCTTGTGCATAGGCTTTAACAATTTCGTTTGTAAACCTTCGACAATAGACCATTAAAATGAACTTTACAATTGTCACAGATACCATGATCACAATCATCCACATCAATTCACTATGATCCATTTCTGGCTTTGTCTAAGAGAATGAAACAAGAAATTAAAAAACATGTTAACTAGTAAGGTTCACAAAAAAAAACAGGTTGTGATTACTCATTCATTGTGAAACAGGCACACTAATCTCAATTACCTTGGAAATAATTTGCCTACCAGACTCAATCAAAATCTGCAATCCCAAGGTTGCCATTACGGATGCAAAAACAATGATACCCTGCATAAGAAATCTGAAGTCACTGTTGGAATAATATAGCAAGTGTGAGTAAGTGGAGAAATAGTCCCACATTGGATATGAATGTGGAGACTTAAGCATATATAAGTGGAAGAACCCACTCACCTATCACATTAAGATTTTAGTTGGATAAGTGGTGTGTTTCTCACAAATGTGCCTAATCCTACTATCAATGCTCTTTGTATATGCATTATTTTCCAATTGCAATTATTAAAGTTTTCTTTCCAATTGGATAGTGATAATGGTTTGGTGTTTTCATGGCATTAGCAGTGAACCACACAATTGCAATTATTAAAGTTAAAGTCATACCACTGGTTGCATCCTTTTCTTTCCAATTGGATAGTGATAATGGTTTGGTGTTTTCATGGCATTAGCAGTGAACCACAATATGAACCCTGACAAGAGATCTAAGAGAGAATCCAAAGTGGACGCAATCACTGCTAATGATCTACTCTCAATTGAAGCATACACTTTGGCTGCAAATAACACCAAGTTTACTGCATTTGATACGTTAACTGCCAGTCTCTCACTTTTTGCTAATTGCTTCATTTCATCCTGAGAATCACATATAGTGCAAAAATAAGAGAATATATTAACAATTTTTCAATATTAGCATATGAAAGTCTCAGACATATTTTTCATCATCACATGTTTGAGATTATCCAGTTCAGATGAATACTGTTTTATGTGGTTTTTAAATTTAGTAGCATTTATAAACTATGATATGATGTGGTACGTAATTGCAATTGGGATCTATGTATAAATTGTTTAGAGGTCTTCGCCTCCCCAGCGGCCTGACATCTGCAACTGCTTCCGCATAGGTCACATTTGCTACAAAATTAATGATTGCAGCATATACCTATTAATCCAACCGCGACCACAATGATTGTTATAATATAATGTACCTCGGTAAGACTTCCTGGGAAAAGTCCTGTTTCAGTCATGGTATCCATATCATTATATCCTTCAAGGAGCCTCTCCTGTTGTTTGTAGTATTCTGCAACCTTGCGTTGCTTTTCTGAAATCAAAGACCACTTGTTAAAAACAAGATTGAATAAAAGTAAAGCATATAGTAAGTATAACATACTGAATAACAATCTCATATAACAGTGGCACACATTTCAGAGAAGGTAGATCCAAGTATTATCTGAAAACTTTGCAGATAAATTTAGAAAGAAAAATAAAACATGTTGGTTGTCTCAGAACCTTATGTTAATAATAACTAATGATGTTTAAATTTTTGAAATCACAGTTATTAATAAAATATCTTAAGAAATAAAACCAAACATGAAGTATAAACTTGTTAAGAAAGTTGACAATCTTTTGCATATACTTGAAGAAAGATCTTCAAACATGGTTCAGTTTCTTAGCTTAATATCATAGGGTTGACTTTGCCATCCAAAAAAGAGTACTGACGCAAAGCTTGTTACCGGTTTAACTTTTATTTCTGTATAAACTTTATTATATTAAAATATGCAATTTATAAAATTCTGAAAAAAAATCACTCATTCTCATAATCCAAGAATTAAAGATGAATAATTTCCTAAGCTTTGAACGTGGCATGTAATTCTTCTTGTGTATAACATATAATAACAAAATGAAATTAGTGCATTCAGAAATAAGAACCTTTCTTTACATATATGAATCACAAAATGATAGTTTTAACATACTCAAATTATGAATCTTTTACAATTTTTGTTATTATTAAATTGAAAAGAAAACGATGGTATATTCGGTTACTCACACGGAATCTCTTAAAATAAAGAGTAAAACTAGTAGAATCCAAACAAAAATGGGAAAAAGAAGCCATACAGCATAAAACTCAGTAATTTTATAATTCGAGAAAACAAAACCAAAACTGGAAACAGTTGAGAGTAATGCAATGGTTATGACAAAAGATTTTCTTACTTGGTTTACCAACAAGGCCACTGAAGGTGAAGGAACGTGGACGGTGATCATGATCATGATCATCATGATGATGATGGTGATGACTGTGGTGGTGACGTGGCAACTTAAACTCTTTCACATTCAGTCTCCACGACGATGACGGTTCATCTCTCGCAATTTCTGCGGTGGCGCCGCCGCTTCCGCTGCCACTCTCCGACATGTTTGCAGGTTATATGCACAGTAACTACCTAACCGCTTTATATAGAATAGAGAACAAGAAACTGATGGAAATCAAGAGAGAAAAAAAACCAGAGATTTTAAAATTGAACCGCCCGGTTTGAAGTCTAAATCTGGTTCGGTCATTTGCTGTAAACCGTCATTTCAAACCATCTCTTCCAATGCTTGTATAAAAGATTGTATTGTTGAATAATGTTACTTTACAAAGGGAGAGGATTGTGTGCCATCGCTTTTAGCTGCCTTTGATAACTTTAGCTATAAATGACATGTACATAAATTAATATACTTAAAGTATTTAGATGAGTGACGAATATTTATTAGATATAATTAATCCTTTACAAGAGGATTTAAAGTTGACAACTTTTCTTCCATTATTAAAGTTAATTTACTTTTCAACTGCAATATAATGGTTGCCATTTTTTTGTATATTGTACTCACTGTCTCATCTTCATAATTAATTTTACATATTTAAAAATAAATTATATACAATTTTATGATTTAATTTCATCTTCATAATTAATTTTACATATTTAAAAATAAATTATATACAATTTTATGATTTAATTGTAATTTTAGTCCCTCTATTTTATATTTTTATTTATTTTAGGATTTTTATTTTAAAAATTTTTATTTTAATCTTTTTTTTTAAAAAAAATTCTGCAATTTTAGTTTATATTTTTGTTCATTTTTTTAATAGAAAATTCAAACGAAAGACCAAAATCGTAGTTTTTAAATTGGGAGATTAAAATCGAAAAAAATATAAAATAGAGAGATCAAAGTTGTAATAAAATTTAATTTAATTTATCAAAAATATATAAGACTAGAAGATGTTGTGTCATTTTACTAAAATAGAGAAAATATTTAATATTAGATGTGTTAGATTCAATTTTTAAAAAGGAGACAAAATTCAGTTTTTGGTTTTTGAAATATAAATTTTTATGAGTTTAATGGATATGTACTGATACCATAAAATAATTTTATTTTATTATCTAAAAGAAAGTCGTTAATCTGTCTTGTCAATCATTTTTTTAATTAAATCAGTAGTTTAATTGAATATATTAATTGATATTATAAAAATATATTTTACAGTCTAAGTGTCATCACTCATTTTCTCAATTTTTATTTATTAATATTTTCAAAATTTTATTTAAAAATCTAAAATAAATATTATGTTAATAATGATTAAATTGATTGATTTTAATATTAATTTAAAAATAAATATTTAAATAAATAAATAAATAAATTATATTATTGAAAAAAATGATTTTTTTTATTTTAAACATATCCAAATATTTTTTTTAAAAATAAAATAAGTAAAATTTATGCTATTTTATAATTTTATAAATAAAATCTCATATTAAAACTTGTTTTAGACTTCAGATATAAATTAGGTCGGCCTTAAAATCTCGAGAGCTAGGTGAGTATTTACAAATACATAAAATTGCAATTTTACCTTATGATTCTAAGAGAATTAAGTGCAAATTCTAAGAGAATTGCATTTTTACAACTTAATTGAATTCTTACATCTAAGAGAATTGCATTATAACATAAGTAGACCTGCCGCCATGGTTGATCCCTATGTCTTAAAATATTCAAATAACAGACAAAACTTAATCGAATGGACGGAAAACGTAGAAAGGTTGAAGAATTAAGGCTTATTTTACTTACGGTTTATACTAAAGTACATTTTATCAAAATAATCGAATGATTTTATATGTTATATGATAAGGAGTATCACAAAATTCATGTTAAAGATAAACATACTATTGATCCTATGAAAAAAGTTGCATATGTACTTCTAAGACAAAATTGTTATATACTTAAATTTAATTTTAAAATAATTTATTTATGAAAAATATGTGGACTGACGCATCTAGCGATAATGATGATATTTTGGTCTTTTCTTCCTCCATGACCGGCAAGAAGTGCAGCGACAACATTGATGACATTCGTAAGCACACGCTTGGATCACTTATGTGAAAAAGTAGTAATTGTCGATCTCTATTTATTATAAATCTATAAAAATAAAAGTATTTAGAATAATTAGAATTAATTTTCTGATTACAAATATAAATTATTTTAATTTCAAGGATAAAATAGATTAATTGTATCATTGCTCAAATAATATTGATTTGATAATTAATGCAGTTGAGGTGTCATCACATAACTCATTTTAAATATTTTTGATTTATTTATCACATTATTATTATATTTCACTAATTAATTGTGAATTTGAATAGTCAAACCATAATCTATATCACTTTATTAAACGTTCATGTATAATGTTTGAAACATGAATAAGCACTACTCAAATAACCACAAACACAATTTTCCATAACTTTTTGATAGGTTTTATTTTCTGAAGTTCTCTGTATACATAAGAGGACAATGTCTCTTCATTTCAAATCCACAAAAACCCTCTTCCTCCAAGCTTCAAGTTTTTATCCGAAAAAGGTGGAAGCTTAAGTGTTTTTGGTTTTCTTCTCTATTTCATTATGTGTTGGTACAATTAATTCCTTCTGCGTTCTAACCGATTTTTCGTGCTATTATTAGAGTAAACAAATCTATCTATCGCTCGCCTTATTGAAGTTGTGAAGGATATCAATGATTCAAAGGATTTATGGAAGATAGTCGTTAGGTGTAAACATTTATGAATTGTTACCAGTGCTTCAAACAAATAACACATAGAGATGACTTTTGTTGATTCAAAGGTATGGTCATTTGTTCATGAACGTTATAAGTTGTTTCAAATTGTTTACTGTAATTTAATTGATTTGTATTTGTTTTTTGTAGCGTGATATGATTCAAGTGATTGTGCTCCTTTTTTTATTATGAAACTCAAGATGGAACTTGCAATTGAATGTTCGTACATAATGCAAAATTTCAAGGTTTTAAACAATGATATCTGTTTTAGATCTACTAACCATAGTTGTAAATTGGTATTTTGTGGATCTACTTCGGTTAAAAAGACAGAACTTCTCAACGTTTCTGTAAACTACCTTAACATACTTGGGTTGGATGCAATAATTGAGGGCAAATTTAAGTCTAATATGTTGGTTGGTAAGTTAAACAAGTATTTTAAGTTTTTTTAGTGTATATTCTGGAGAGGTGTGTTGTACCTCAAAATTTTCTCTCCCATTTTTCAAGACAAATTGGTTCAAGATATCTTCCCATGCTCCTAAGGTTCTCAAGTACTCAAGACTACTCAAAGAATAATCAAATAAATCCTCCTCCTAAGCAGTGGCCTACAACTAGGGTTTTGATTTTCTCAAGGAAAATTGGACTTCTAATGCCTTAAGTAAACTTCATGGTTTCTCATATGCTTCAAAGTATCCTCATGCCAAATTTTAAGCCTTGCAACACAAGTTTGCTCAATCAAATAGTCAGATGATTGGAAATCAACTGTATTGGGCAAAAAGTCAATTTTGATCAATTTACAATCAAACTTCAAGATTTTGGGTCAACATCAAGATTTTGAATTCAAATTCATCATTTGATCAAGGTTTGATCATGATTCATCAAGAAACCTCAAGATTCATCAAAAGTCAAAAGTTACCAAATTAGGGTTTTCTATAGGAGAAGTCAATTAAACTTTGACCAAGCATAACTTTCACATGCTTCATCAGAAAATTCTCAACCAAATCTCACTTTGAAGAAAATTCAATTTTATACAACTTTGTATCTCTAAGATCAAGGTCAAAAAATGCTTCATTTGAGAGATATGGGCCAAAATATTATAGGTCATTTTAAAAGTCAACAAAAAGACACATTTTGTCAAAGCAATTTACATCAAGTTAAATTATGAAAATGAAAAAATGACCAACATGAAGATTATAGTAGACACCTTGAGGTTTCCAAAAAGTCCTAGATCACCTTCATATGATGAAAATTGAGTGAGATATGATTTGTGTAAGTTGGGCAATTTTGAGAAAATGCATGAAATTCAATTTGAAGCAAACTTGACTTTTGGGCTAATTGACCTATCTTTTAAGGTCTAAACATGTTCATGATACCTTAGAATGTCTCTAAGTTCATGCATGCATTATTTTGATTTTGATTTTTATTCATTTAAATTCAAAATTAAATCAAATATATTAGATAAATATGTAAGGCATAAAAGGCTTTTGATTTGATTATTTTGGAGGCCCAAGACCAAAGTAGACACCGTGTATACCTATTTCTCCAACCAAATCTCCTTGGTTTTGTCATATTCAATCTATTTTCAAACAAAGATCAAAGACATGTTTTGTACAAAGTCCAAGCCCATGTTTTTGACATAATCTCTTCATCTATATATACCCTCCATATTCAGACCAACATGGACGAAAAAATTGCTCAAGAAACAAGGGTTTGGAGTTTGAAATTGGCAAGAAGAAGTTGGAAATTGAAACCCTATTTGCAAGCATCCTCAAAGCAATTCAACAATCCCAATCAATTCTTGAGGTATTATAGAGTAAGTATGGATCATTCTTGATGATCAAAGATGCCTAAAACATGCATATGATGCATCGCCGGTTTGCATGTTTTCTTGAAATTCATATTTTGATTTTTATGATGCTTTGATTTAAACTAATAGCTCTAACGTGTTCTTGAGACAAAACAATATAGGTTTGATCCCTTGCATGTGGCATGCGACGCCATAATGGTCCATCACCATTATTGAACCGATTTGCACTATTTTGGTCGTATCTCTTTGTACATGTTGAATTAGCCAAAAGTAATGCCACCATTGGGTTTGCAAGGTTCGATTTAGGGGGATAGGGTTCTTTTGAATCTCTAACATGCGCTGATTTTGCAGGTGAAGAAAACGCCTAGTCAGAGAAGACGACCGGAGCTAGGGCTCCGGCGTTTCTCCGGTGCATTGATTTTGTTTATATATATATATATATATATATATATATATATATATATATATATATATATATATATATATATATATATATATATATATATATATATATATATATATATATATATATATTT